AAGAGCAGGCAGCAGAAACACACTTACAAATTAGGTTTATATAGCTGAAAGCCCTAAAGATTTATTCTGCCTTGCAAAAAAGTATAAAGGTTTTTATCCTTAGAGAAAGGTTACTTCTTTTCCTAGCAAGGAAAAGGTGGGGGGGAAAGAGGAGTTAAGAGAAAAATAAATTTGAGCAGATGGGTCAAACTCGGAGCTGTGGCCAGCAGAACGGGAGAACAGGTTTCACAGATTTAGGTTATTTCTTTAATTTAAAAAAAAAAAAAAACAAAAAACCAGTTGTAAAGCCTCTCCCCTAGTGCTCTCTGAACTATATTATACCATCTTACCCTCCAAAACAGGGTAGCTGCATCCAAACCGCCCGCTGGCCACGTCCCTTGCCCACGCCAGCTCCCGAGCCTTGCCTCAGGAAGCTGTCTGTCCCAGCCAGCGGCACGCCACGGCCGTTAGGGCAAACCAACAGGGTAGATGGTCGGGTTTCTGTTCTGGGTTCACATCCTGGCACTGTTAAGTTTACTGTTAGACAGATGGCTTCTAAAACGTTGTAATTATTATTGTTTAAAATAAGGCTGCACAGTAACAGCGGGCCAGAGCAGTGGGGGGGTTTTACAGGACGATGCTGACGGGATGTTACGTGCCCTCAGGCACGGTCGCACAGGAGCGGTTGCACGTGAAACACCTGCAGCGGCACAGAACGACGTTCGCTGTCTCCTGCCCTTGCTGATGAGGAAGATGGCTCAGATCATTCAAGCCAGGTCTCAGCCTCTGTTTCATTTTTACTCTGCGCTGAGGCTCCAGAGACGCGATGAGCAAAGGCAATACTTTCTCTGCTGAATTTGAAGTAGGTCTCTACTATCTCAAACTACCCAGAGAAATAGATTGCTTAAAGATCTATCATGTTCTGACAAAAGAGATTTTGTGCATGTACGGGATACAGCCGCGGCATACGCTGATGAGGCAGGTAAATTACAGAGTAGTTGAAAGTAGGGCTGGAAGCACAGCAGGACGTCCTATCTGTGGACCGCATCCTGTTTGTCTTACACCCAGGCATACCACAAGAGCATTTGATTTAGGGTAGGAAGTGAAATATTTCGTAATATCTGCTTGTTTGGCATAATTGTATAAAAATTGTAAAACTAAGACATCAGGAAGGAATCAAATGACTGACACCTCGTCTGCAAATACAATGAACGTGTAATGGAGCAGCACTCGGGAGGTCCCACCTATCTGAACAAGCCAGAACAGACCGATTCTGCCTGATGGGAAGGAGCAGCAAGCCTTCAGACCAGGCTGCTCTCGATTCACAAGGAAAGTGTACATAAA